ACACACACACACACACACACACACACACACACACACACACACACACATTTGGTGCTGCTGACTCAAAGTTCCACGGCAGGATGTGTCATTGATGGTCGGCGGGTGTCACTGACAGGGCAACACTTTAAATGGCTGCAACACACACACGGCCAACAAACACGTCTGCACGGCGGACAAACAAGTGAGAGCTGCACTTCTCACGCTCGCTGCAGCAGCAGTCGAGAAAAAGAGAAACTGTCACAGAGAACCGACAACACCACCTGTTCAATCATATTCGCCTGTATGAAGTCAAGTGACCAACAGTGTGACAGAAACAGCTAAAAAGATTCAGATGTATGGAGTACCACCTTTAAATCTTTAACTTTTAAGTTGAAGATTAACTTAATGAATCAACATACATACTTGTAGCCATTTCAAAATGTTGTGTCACAAAAGAGACCACGAATAACATTTTTATTTTTGTAAACTCCTTATTAAATCACTATTATTAATATAACGTAATACTTAAAAAGTGAATTATCAGTTATCAGCAATTGGAATAAATTACACACTCTGGGATGTATTGGTGTGTAGCTCGTGAGCTCAAAGGGTGCAACCTTTAAATAAAACGGTCTTTTGGTTGTTGCCGCGTTGGTTTGTTTTTTCACTTTTGATGGAGCTATGCTAGCACTTTACCTGCTTCCAGTCTTTGAGCTAAGCTAGGCTCTACATCTCTACACTGGATGCGCAGACATGAAACTGATCTTTTCCTGCAATTCTGATCAATGATGTTGATGTAAAAGAACTACTAGTTTGGGGTTTCTTATGATTGTATTATCAGCACATACAGACCCATCCCTATGAAAGTCATCTGTGGACACGTCATGTACCACCTAGTGTCATAAACCTGAGTGGGTCAGCAGTGGTGCTGGTCGGGAAATGATGAGCGCGATGGCAGTACGGTCGAAAGAAAGTTTATAAACGTGGCTCTTCTGTGGGTGAGGTAGCGAGAGATCAACTTTTTTTTTAATGACAGCAATACAATGAGCTGCAATGTTTTTAATGACATTTTTATGTCTGGTTGAAAAATATTTTGGCCGGTAAGCTTTTGAAATTAGTTTACCAGCCATTGGCAGACGGATCAAAAAGTTCAATTTGGACCCTGCCCGAGTCACACAAGATGCATCCCTGCTGCTTTAATTCCATTAGCCGCAAAGAGCACAACAAAGGGGGTTCTCACTTCATTGCACAACAGTTTACTCTCTGGTAAATGGAATGAAACAGAGCCAAAGCTTTAGGAAAACAATGTGTCTTCATCAATATTGTACACATATATCTGCTTTTCTCATTTTCTCGGCTGGTAGAGTTGAAGAAAGGTTTGATACCGCTTCATAGATTCCGCTCTGACATTAGAGTCAGACGTACCGATTGGACACCAATCTGTGACCCACAATAATAACTCACAAGGAGGAAGCCAAATCCCTGTCCAAAAACACCTCATTGGGTAACTTTTTGGGGTGTTGGACTGTCGGTTGGACAGTACATTAAAGACAGACATTAGAACGTGATGGCCATTATAACAACAGATTAACAGAGTTGTTAGTTGCAGCCTTACATCAATATATATCAAAACTACACACTCAGTGGCCAACTTTATCAGGTACAACTGTATTGTGTGGCAGAAATCTGGTGCATAAAGTCACGCAGATATTGTCAAGAGGTTGACTAACGTCTAGTGAGAATCGAAAGGAGAATGGCCGCACTGGTTCAAGCTCACACAAAAGTGACAGTGACTTAAATAACCAGGCGTTTCAACAGTGCTGTGAAGACGAGCATCTCTGAACACACGGCGTGTGGGAAGTGAAGTGGATGGACTTGCCCACGGCAGCAGAAGGGTCGGGGGGTTCCACTCCTGTCAGCTAAGAACAGGACACAGACAGTGGGCACAGGCTCACAGGAGGACAGGACAACGTGCAGGAGATTACGACATTAGGTAGTTACTGTCAGCTCTAAAACGATACTTATATGCACTTTTATTGTCACACGTTTTTATTATTTTTGACGCGGGCAGAATCATGGCTGCACTTCCAACCAGGCAAGACACAACAGTGACCCAAAGCCCCAGGCCCTCAGGGGCCCCATAAGATCCAGACTCCCAGTGTTCATGGTTTGTGGTAATTAGACAGGGATCCGTACCAATAAATAGTTTGCTATTATTTAAGCTATTCAAATGTACTTCCTGGACACTTCACAGATGGGTTAAATGCAGATGTCAAATTTCATGTATGTATCTGCATGTATGAATGTGACGATTGGAATAACGTTTGTATAGTATTATTTAGGCTTATAATGTGCTTACATGATGCACACTACTGTATAAATCGGTTTAATATGAATAGTTTAATGTAACAGGATCATAGCTCACTTTAGCTGCAGGTGGGTTTGACCGGACATATTGATAGGGACTGGTTTTTTTTTGCATGTTACTTTATTTTACTGATACTACTTCCTTATTTACTTTTTTGAATTAGTTTTAAATGGGCCTATATGAGTGTTTTGTTTATAATGGAGGACTTTTACATTGTTGTGTTGCGATTTTCTTTTGGAGGATGTGAATATTCTTCCACCAACTGGCTTATATACCGAATAACAAACAGAGGAAACGCCGCCGACCCGAGAGGGTCACGATACACCCTCCACTCACCTGTGTCACTCTCGACAGCGCACAACTGCCCGGCGACGGTGTGCGACCTCCGTCTGCTGCTCCCCGGGGCCCCCCCGTGCTCTTTGCCCGACAAGGAGCCATAATCATCGAAGGCTCCGTTCACGTTACCGGCCACCAGAACGTGCGTTTCCATCTGGGACATCTCCCGAGTTCTTCTGCGGGGCCGCTCCTGCGCTGTGAAAGTGAAAGTAGCAGTTCGGCGGGACACGGAGTGGATTCAGCTCTCCAAGGAGAGTGAGTTAAGTCCGACAGCAGCTCTACGGTCAGTGACAACTCTAAAGTTACATAGTTTCAAGCGGCGCACGACAGCTTCAAGCTAAGGCAAGGGGAATGTGTTTTTAGGAAGTCGCCCCTCTGCGCTGCTCCACCTTCCCTCCTGTTCTCAAGTATCACTTTACACTGACTTTAAAAACACTCAAAACTCCACCTACAGCACGCTGCACGTGCTGCAGTCTACTGCGGCACAGTGGAGCGAGGAACCTCATCTCACAGTCACGTGAGAGGACAGAAACGTTCAATGTATACCGGTGAGGAATGTGGCGTGTCGTAAAAGCAAGCAGTGTTAGGAAACTATTGTAGGAAATATAGATTACAAGTTCTGATACACGGCTCGTGGCTCGCGCGCAATCTGCGGAGGTTCGCGCTACGGTGCCACGCGCGCGAGTATAAACAAATCTTCACAGGGTCTGTCTAAACGCGGTGTCGGTTCAAGAGCCCGTAGAGTCCCGTCACGCCGGGAATAACGTTCACATCATGCCGGAACTGCTGCTCAGGTGTCGGGTATGGAAGCCCATTGCTGTAATTACAATAATGACATATTGACTCAAAATGTACTTTAAAAAATCTAATTTTTTTTGATACTCTTATCAGTATTTTTGTTCAAAAGTATGAGACAAAGTCAAGTGTTTGGCAGTGTGTCAACATTTTATACTTGATTCAGTTAATCCCATTGTTCAAACTGGGTAGGCCAAAATGTTAGACTTAATTCAGAATTTTAAAAGTAGAACTACTACTGACTGTGGGTCATTTATTAATCTGCTGATGATTATGGTTAAACGGCTAATGTGTAGCATTTTAAGCAACCTATTGTCAGGATAGAATATAATATTCATAACTATGTTTTCATTAGCGTGTATAATCACCTGAAACTAAGAATCATGTTTTCGTGAAGACAACCCGAGTCCTCTTCATGGAGTCCCCCATGTTGCACTGCAATGTTTCTACAGCAGCCCAGAATGGACAAACCATATACTGGCAATAGTGAGGGCCTTTTTGCATTTTTACATTACCTGAAGGCCACTTTAGTAATGCGAGCGGCCAGTAGCCGTCTGACCAGGCATTGACCTTGAATGGTGAAGATTAGGATAGGTCGGCAGACAGCAAATCTCAGAAAGTTTTTGCAAGTTTTCTCAAATTGTGGGTTACCATCTAGATGTGACAGTCCAACATTATTTACCAAAACTATTTTTTATGCAAGATGGACAAGCTTTCTAATTTGAAAGTAAGCATGCGATTATACAAACATCATCCACTTCATATCGCTGACCGGGTAAGTGACTACAGTTTATTCAGTATGGAGCTGCAGTCCCAACAGTATCTCCTGGCAGACAGAAGTGCTGTGGGTGGGGAAAAAATGACAACTATATGAAAAGAAAGATGAATCCTGTTAATTAGGCCCCAACCTCACGTGTCACATGCTCTGTCAGCTGACAACTAATTAAACCAGCAGGGGTTTTTTTCTACACAGATGCCGCTGCTGTCCCCAATACATCACCCAACTAGAATAATTCATTTTGTCATTAAACTTTAAACATGTACAAACAACACCTTAAAACTAATTTGTATTTTGGAGTCACTTTATTTCCAGCAAACACACAACCCCTCCCATACAGTGTCTCACCAACAACATTAAACTCCAAATACAAGCCTGTAATCCAATAACCTCAGTGTCCCAGACATTGGAGGAAAATGTCTTTCACGGTCTTAATCTAATCTGTCATAGTTTAGTAGCAAATGAGCACCATTAACCCTTACTGAAGAATGTCCCAGGAATGAACCCTCCACCTGACATTGGAACCAGAGGTTGAGTGAGAGGGCATGTGAACCAGCATCTTAGAATTTGTGTTTCCTCAGTTATTCGCCTGAACCCCAGAAAAAGCACAAGTAACTGGACATTCCTATGTACAGCATTTTAGGGTGAGCGTGGGCAGACTGTGCGTTGTGAATATGTCAGTGATTCAGAGGCCCACACATAGCGCATACTACAACCCAATATACCTCGCAGTCTAAATAAAGATATTATAACGCTATTAGCTTCTCAAAGATAAAGAAAGCTGTTCCTCCAGAGGTCTAATCTAACTAATTTGCATCCCCATGGGACCTTAAACAATAGGCCCAAGTCATTTTTAATACCATATCCACATGCTTATGTAAATTGAAATAGAAGTGATTTTTTTCAGGGTCAGTGTGGACAGGAGGAGTGATTACAGTGACCAGCAATCCTTAAATTTACAAATCGACATGAGAGTATTGTGATAAGATAGACTTGACAAAATGTGAACCTATCTTTAAACTCCAAATGCACTAAAAGAAATATTGAATCTTCTACTGCCATTTTCAAAATCTTCAAAGATTTCTTAAAATGCTTTTAAAGTCACACTAGTGGCATGGCTCTGAGTATGGCAATGTTGGTTGGTCCATCCAACAGTTGTGGAGATATTTCAGTCTGGACCAAAGTGGTGGTAAGACTTAGATATCTCAAACTATTGGATGGATTGCCTTGGGATTTTTGTAAAGACATTCATGGTTCCCAGAGGATGAATCCCAAATATTTTGTCATTTCCTTGACTTTTCATCTACGGCCACCATGAGGTTGACAACTGCGTCTTTGACTGAACCATCCCAACAACTATTGGATGAATTGCCTTTGGGAGTTCGTACAGACATTCATGGTGCCCAGAAGATGTAGCAATATTCATCCAGCGCCATCATCAGGTATGAACTTATATGTGTCCAATACGTTGACTTAGCACCAAATAACTGCAAAACTACTAACATTCAGTGCTAATTAGTAAATGCTAGCATGCTAACCTGACAAGAAGGCCAATATAACATTATCAACTTATTAACATGTTCATTGTTATCATGTCAGCATGCTAATGTTAGCATTTAGCTCAGCACCACTGAACCTACAGTAAGTACACCGTCACTGAGCCACGAGCATGGCTGAAGACTGAATCCGTTGATATAAGCTAAACAAATCGTTATATATATATATATATATATATATATATATGAAATACATTTCTGTGATTATACTGAGGCAAATTTGATTCAATTCAGCTGTTTTTCTTAAAAGGTATACAGATAAAAATATCTGAAACATTCAAATTAGAATTAAACAAGCTAATGCTAACTGCACATACTGTGTATATATATTGGACTTTTACCGGCCACAATATGAATATAAACTTTTTTTCTTGGCTTTAACACCATATAACTAATATGACATTTCAATATATTTGCTATATCACATACAGGTTAAATCAGACATCAACTTTTTAAAAAACAACCTGCAGTGGCTTTAGTCATATTCACAATATTGATATTAGGCTTCCAAATAGTAATGAATAATATTTCTTTTTTTAGTTGGTACTAATCACATGCAATGTAAAGAGAGGTGGAGGAGCCATTACTTCTTACGCTGTGATTAAACATTTTGCATATTTTGCAATATTTTCATGCTGCTGAGCAACATCTGGGAATGATAGCCCTTGGAACATTTGTGACACTGAGGTAGAACAAAGGTTCGATATAGTCCCTGAAATTTTTTTATTTTTTTCTCCTGCTTGACACAGTTCAAAGTATTTGGCTTAACTGAAAGTGCCACATAAATCACCACATAATCGATCCTTTTGATCCGTCACAGATGTGATGGATTTTCTCAGGACACTGAAGACCTTAGGTTCGTATTGCTTTGGGGTGTTATCTGTCATCTGGGACACCTGTGGGGAAAGGAGGTTAACCATCAGTGTGAGGGACTGAGCTGGCTGGCATGAGGAATCACAGGTGGGTTTTTCCAAAAAATGGTGCATAACACAATATAGTGTTCTCTTGACTAGTAACCCCAATCCTCACCAGAATGTGGCAGACACTTAGTACTTTCCAATTGGCCACTTCCTGCATTTAAAGGTTCTGTTTTAGGGGGCGCATCCTTTATTCCAGCCGGCCAGGAAGTCCCTCCAGCAGCAGCAACCAGCAACGGAACCCTCAGCAGTGGTATCTAAAAATATAATTTTTCAAATATTTAGAAAAGGCAAACATACTATATGTCAAGACAAGGTAAAGTGCGACGGTAAAGAAATTAGCTAAATGTGTGCACTAGAAATAGAATCTAAATTCTAACGTTATCATGACGTGTAAAATGTAGCTTATGGCAAGAAACTTGAATAAATCCAGGTGTTTTAAGGAGATGTTTTCAAACAACATAAAATTGATACTATAGAGGTTTAACTTGCTAACCGTTGCTCTAAGCAGCTTGTAATACATCATTAAAACTACTGAAGTACGATTTTCTTATCAATCAAAATGCCATCTTCTATTTCCTAATCATTTGAATTGTGTCTTTTATGCAAATAACCACTATAGATAACAGTTACAAAGAAAAATAATAAGATTTAGAATTTTTGAAGGTTTCAACACCGTCTTCGGAAAAAGTCCAGCTCTGCCAAATACTATAGTAGTTCCTTCCTGTATCGCTACATCTCCGTCTTCCCCCACCATTCAAACGGAGAATGAGGTGGCAGTGACGCTACCTGGTTGTCGATGCACCTGAACTGCCAGGTCCAGCGTGTGTTGTAGAGGAAAGGTCGGAGGTCAAAGCGGTTGTCGTCGGGGCTGTAGCTCTCGGCGTGGTAGGACGGCGTCACTGTGGTCATCTTGTGGCGGTTCACCGAGTACATCCGGAAGAAGTGCTTCACCTTCTGTGCAACCTGGGAAAAGACGACGCGCTGTTGTTTCTAGGTAAAAGTCTTAGACAGCCACTAAATGCACAATATTCAGTGTTCAAAAGACACATTTTGAAATGTTTCAATGTAGATTTGCGGAAGTCTCATTCAACTTGGAAGCCGATCACATCATTGTTTTAAGCCCCAAGTCACCGTCAGGCTTTAGAGCTGTCACTCTGTGAGACGCTAACGTTAGCTCAAGCAGCTAAAGTGCACAGCTGTTGAGTCATCAGCCCAATATCAAATCGGGGCTGTCCCGTTATCAGATTTTTACTACACGATTATTGTGGCCAAAAGAATTCATGACAACATTATAATCGCAAGCTTTATGGAAAATATGATTAAATAAATAATGCTATTGGTGAAATTCACTTTTATATTGTTTTGTCTCTCTTTTGGCAAATTTATTACACTCAAAATACAAGTGTAGGAAGGTGGAAAGAGTCTGTAACCATAACTGTTTAAAGGAGTTGGATTATTTACATGATATTATCAAATGTGTATACAATATCAATGTTTAATTTTTCAAACATCACAGTTATTGTAACACCCCTAAATGTGACTTCCGTTTAGTTTTAACAAAATAGAATAACAAGTGTGCAAAACCAGCAATTTGTCAATAAAAACAGAATGGATCAGGTATGTAGCCATTATTAATAAATATTGTTACAAAGCAACTCTATAATAAGGCGGTATGAATGCCATTATTGCAGAATATTTGAATAATAGAGTAATGTTTAGTATACTTGTAATATCTTAATAAATGTGGGCCAAACACTTACAATTAGTTGTAACTTTCTTTGACAGTCTACAATCACATGTATTGTTTTATCGGATTCTATTCCAGCAGAAATAATTGAATTTATGATTATTCTTGATACAAGCTAAGAATTACATTCATAGAAAATAATTGGAATTTAAATTGTTATCACAATATTGGTCATGAAATGTCGCAACTAGATATTTTCCTCAAATCGTTCAGCCCTCTGAACCTCAAAATCTCAAAAAACAAAACTCCAGTCGATAATGCCATAAAAGATTTGTTGAAAGTCCTGCTTCCACTCAAAGTGTCTGCTCTGCAATTGTGTTCTACACTGCAAAGAAGATAACTGACCTCTGCGGGTGAGAGCGTGTCCCTCCACATGTGAATGAGTTTACAGAACATACTGAAGGGGCCGCACTTGGAGATCTTCCTCAGCCGTCCGATCACGGATAACTCAGAGTAGGTCATTCCCATGTCTGCCTGAGGAGGGAGGCATGAGGTGGTTAGTGAAAGATGGATGAAGGTAGGAAAAGGATGACGACAAATAAAGCATTATGAAACAAATACTGTTGTTGGGCCTGTCGAGCTGACCAGAGATGTACAAAGAGAAAGAAGCTGACGGGGAGAGCTAGCGATGAAGTTAGCGCAAGGATGTACGTGTGACTAGGTCCGTTTTTTCAAAATAAGGTATTTACAAAGGGTATGTACAAAATTCATACTGTATATTGAAAGAAGATTAATTGAATTATATTCACCAGAAGTATAAAACATGTTACATTTGACTCTTGTCAATTAAAGAGAAAATTCCACTAAATTGTGAGGGAAATGTCTTTATTCTTTGATTTATTTGGAGGTTGTTGGGAAAATTATAATAAATAATTCCTGACAATGACTCATATATATTTGACTTCAGGTCAGCTGTGACTACATAAATGCTGAAAATCAAACATTTTAACTATCTGTTTAGAGAACCTAAAAACAAAAAATCTCAATAAATCGTAATATCAAATCGAAATACTTGAAAAATTCGGCATCCAAGTATTCTGATAGTATCGAATCGGGAGATATGAATATTGTCCCAACCCTAGTAGACCCATTTGTACACATTTTACTGTACAGTTTGAAACTCCATGCGTACAAATATTACTGGTTAATATCTTAACAATACTAATATTAACTAGAGACCACTTTGCGATGGGATCCCATCGGTTGCTTCGCCAGATCGGGCCAGGGGTGTAAAGTACGAGGGACAATGAGCCCCCCGCCCCCCCCTACTTCTACGCTCTTGCTCGCACCAAACCCATTTTCGAACACCGACTTCTTTTCTCACCTCATCTGTTTGTGAGACCTGCCCGTCTGTCAGCGGCTCCAGCTCAGCTGTGGGCGGAGCCGACAGGATGCTGCAGAGAAAACCAAAACCACACGAGATGCTCCGTTTGTGGCTTGCAGAATATGAAGTTTGCATGAAACAATGACTGGTGCATGAAACTTAAGCCTACCCATACCTATATCTATCTTTATATGTATATAGAAATGTAACATAGAAATGTTTAAATGTGCTGCAGGATGTGTAAAACCATTAACGCATTGTCTCACACTGGTGGTGCTGGTGGGTTTGGCTCATTTCCCATAAATACTGGAGCTACTTTCACTTCTACCTCTGAAGGTTTTGTGTTTGGTGAAGAGGGTAATATACTGGAGCGGATTCCTGCTTCCGCCTTTTACTCCTTCCACCCTTGTTCTGAATACTAACAGGTACGTTACCCAGCAGTTCAATCTCCCCAAAATGTCTGTCAGTCAGCCGACCTCACCCTCTCAGAGCGGTGAGCTGGAACTGCTCGACACAGTAGAGCAGGAAGCTCTTCAGGTCCGTCTTGCTGATGCCTCCTATGGGGTTGATGTCGGCACTGGAGCAGTCGTACTTTGTGAAATACCCTGTCAGACTGAGCAGGAAAGGTTGTTGTTAGGCGGTAATTATTCTCCATTCAGAAAGCATTTATCTTTCGGTAGTTGTACCGCTCTCGCTACATTCACGCGTTTTGTTCAGCAAGATAATCGTCACAAATGAACACCACTTTTATGATTTTTGAAGTGTGAATGCAATATGCAGAAGTAAAAAGCTAACGTTACGTCAGTGAACGAACTACACCACGGTCCCATGTGCGCGACAACGCTGTGGTAACAACCTGTCAATCACAATGTACCCTGCTTTATGGTCTGTTTTACTCTAAATGGACATCATGCTGTATTGAAGAAGACTTGAAACTAGTGATTGAGACCATAAACTGATGTTTACTGATGGAATAACTAAAGTGAGAAGTAGAGTCATTTTCTCATAGACTTCCATACAATCAGACTTATTTTTGGAACCAGAGGAGTTGCCCCCTGATGGTCAGTAGAGAGAATTACCGCCTCTGCCAAACAGTCGTGTTGCAGTTCACATCCATGTCTGTCCAAAGTGTCATCAGACACTTCATTATCCGTCTGTCCCACGCACTCGCCTTAAGACCCGTGGTGACCGAGCTTTTGAGGCAGTAGCGCCAAGGCTGTGGAATGCTCTGCCTGCACCCCTACCTTTTGCTGGTTCCGTGAATTTGTTTAAAAATCAGCTCAAGACATACCTGTTTAGACTGGCGTTTGGGTAAAAGTCATGCTCTAGGCCTGCTTTTAAGCAATGTTTTAATTGTGTACTTTCTGTTTATTGTGCCTTCTTAAATACGTTTCATGTTTTACATTTTGTTCTTAAATTATTGGCCCTTGTATGGTCACATTGTGTTATTTATGTATGATATTCTGCTCCTGTTAGGCACTTTGTGACTTCTGTCTGTGAAAAGCGCTTTATAAATAAATCTTACTTACTGAGGTATATCTATTTTACCTATGAAACAACTGCAAACTTAGAATATATTTCAAAAGGAAATTTCACATACATGTCTGGTCAGGGACTAGCCCCAGTAATACCTCTCATCTACGTTAGCTGAGCCCAGCACCAGCAATCCCCCTGGCTTCCCCCGGGCCCACAGACTTAGCTGGGCAAACAGGTAGGCCAGGACCATCCTGACTCGAGCCTGGGAACGCACACGCAGGCACAGACACACAGACACACACACACACACACACACACACACAGAGTGAATACAAAACTCTCTGCGGCACTGATTGAAACTACAAAACGGTCACAGTTGTGTTACTGAAACATAAGTGTGAAGAAGACTGTGGTCAGAATATGTTAATGACAGACAAAAGGAGGAGTTGCAAAGACATTGTCGTGAAGATAAAACCGTCACGATGACTCAAAGTGTGAGTGTGACTGAGTGTCGTACCTGTACATTCTGCAGAGCCAGGTTTTCTCTGTGGCTTCCTCCATTGGCTCGAAACTGAGGCCACCTTCCAGTAACCACTGAGAATATACCCAGAATGCCTTTCACTGCCAGATCTATGTTAATATTCATGTGTGTGCTGCAGACAAAGAAATGAATAACAGAGGATGAAAAGATATTTCAATGCAGCTCAAAGGACAATAACTCCAAAGAAAATAACAGACTAGAGATGAAACATAAATACAAATATTGATTTTTTTAAATTATTGAATAAATTGAATTTAAAATAAATAACATTAACACTATTATGGCCTATATTGTTTATTTTGCCACAGAACTACAGGGCCATTGCTCTACCCTACTTTATAATCATTTTCTCATACGTTATATATTAGTTCACATAATTCTTATTCTACTGTATGCTACTGTATTCTCGGTTCTCTCGCATTCATAAATATTTATCTTTTAACAAAACATTTATGCCACATACTATTTGTAAATATTGATCATATTAAATACAAAAATATTCACTTTATAATTGTGATAATAGTGTCCGTTTATCACAATCTGGCATCAAGACTGTGGTTGTGTTATTATTAGCCAGTATTTGCATCACTTATTTCCATTTTTCATGTGCTGCATTGTACTATTGTTTCACTTGATTCTCACACTCCTCAAACAAAAGCCCTTCAGGTTGAACCCCGCCTACCTGCCGATCTGATTGGCCAGGCCTTTGGCCCTGCTGCATGTGTCCTCTGAGGAGTTTTCGCTGGCCATGTAGCAGGTGGTGAAGATGTGACCACACAGCTCCCTCGGGTGCTCGGGACGGTAGGAGTCATCCCCTACCACTCTGCGGACATCCTCCAGTACCTGGCTGTCTGATAGACATGGAGAGAGAGAAAGAAGAGGAGGGGACAAGAAAAGATGACTTTTTTTAAACTTCTATTTTGCGAGAGTGAAAAGAGACAGGAAAGACGGGAAAGTGAGGCGGTTGGCATGCAACTAAGATCCAAGGCTGGATTCTCAGGCTTATAAAAGCATCGTTCAACTAACCCTCTTACACTAATACTGCTTCTTTACCGTGCAGATTTCCAATGTATCATACTATATAACTTTTTTCATTGCCAACAAATCTCATGAAAAGATCAGACCAGTAAGTGTAGTAAGTCGCTCAATTCTTACTTCCCAACCTTGTCTGTGGCTCTCAACACAAAGCCCAGACCTCACAAATATAGTGTTTCATTTTTTTAATTCCTAAAACGGTGACTCACTGTAGCTTCTAACAGACGTTACTCAAGCAGGATGAAATAGGGCATTTGTTGGGGACTATTACATTTGGTGCTGTGGTGAGTATTTGTGGCAGCAGAACGGTTTATGTAGGATTGATTCAAAATAAACAACAATGCGTGTGTTCATGGCAGTGAAGCAACAGTATGGCTCAGTGATGTGTTTTTTAAAGCGGTGCTTTATGGCTCAAAGGAAGAAGACATATCAGGCTTTGATGCACACATTCACAGCTGGATTTGGTCTCAACTTTTGTTGAGAATATGGAAAATATAGAAAATTACCACCTTATGCCTTAACAAGAGCATGTGTCAAGAGTCACCTTGAGAGAACAAGTGTGTTTACAATAATCTGAAATGAAAGCAAACAGGATAGTACTCACTGCCGTCCTCTATAGCCTGGCAGAGCAGCACGCACATCGAGTGGACAATGCAGGCGGTGGAGGAGCTGTCGACACCTCCACTCAGAGGCAACAGGAAACCAGCCTGGGACACAAGTCAAAATCAAATAGCTTCTTCATTTTAGTTATTTCGACGCTTCGCTAACTTCCGCCTATATTTAACGCAGATCGGCCAATCACAGCTTAGCATCAGCCGGCTCCGATCAGGGTCCTACAACTACCCGGCTCTGATGCATAGACTCTCATCCAATCGTTTCAGATGTTCTTAATTTTCAGATCGGTTTTGTGGATTTGGAGCTGGTCATGGTTAAATGTTGTGTAGTGGGAAGGAGATATATGTTTCAAAAACTTTCTGTTTCTACGTAAAAACTTGTGTCGCTATCATTAGCCGAGTATGTTTGAATATCATTAACTAGTGTTAGCACCTCTATGCTACGCTAGCTACTGAAGGTATACTGAACATACATTCATATACACATGCTGCTTTGGCTTTTTAATGACAGTGATTAATGTCTACCCGGCTTTACAGGAACAGTGTTGTTCCTTAATTTCTTCTGTCACGATCCCAGGTGATGTGGTGGTTCACTTTTACACCGTGATCTGTAGCTTTAGCTTCTATCTTTATCTTTTTAACCTCGTTTGTCCACTCGTTTTTCACTGCTGAATCAGTTTGACATCCTGGACACATATTGTAGACACTCCTTTCTGCTTCTCTATGAAATTACTTTTATGTTTTTCCAAAAATTAGATAATATTTATTTAGGAATCGAAGTTTGCTCCATGGTAGCTCTGACAACTTGACAGAGTAGCATCAGGGGGCGGGGCTTAGTGAAGGGTCAACTGAGACACACGACACACTGTGCAGCAGCATTTTTTCAGCGTGTGTGTGTGTGTGTGTGTGCGTGTGTTCCTCCTCACCTGTCCACTTCTCCTCAGGTAGTCCCACAGCCAGCAGGCCGGCCCTAGACTGAACAACACAGGTGGCAAATGCTGTTGTGATTTCTGCACTGGGTTTCTTCAACTGGCCCTTTTTAGAAGCCTGTAAATAGTTTTCTGCTTTGAAAAAATACATATTTTGCACCAAAGTAAATGTATGCATTTGCACCTGATCTCTTCCTCTGGTGAATGGAAGTGCAATGTTATTGGTTGGTGGGTAGGGAGGTAGATATCGTCACCATTGGATAAAGAAAAGTCAACTTTGACCCTGTGGCACGGTTTGGGTTCAATTTCCTACAACAGAGAAGCATGATACTGAGAGGAAATGGCAAGACAAAGCGACACATAATGAAACACACACGAGCATCAAACAGTGATCAGGAAATGGAGAAAGGTTTATAAGCCATAGTTCACTTGTAACCTAGCTATGTGTGACTGTCTAACTAAACCAACTAAAGATGCTAGAAAGTAAAGAGAATTCAAATTGAATATGATTTTTAAGAAAGAAACTATTTGGGATTATTTAATATGTGGGAAGATTATTTTTGGCCACCTGGGGCAGCGCAACACAGAGACAACATCTTTTATGGGGTTTGATCTATTATGAAGTTAGTAGTTTTAAGTAAACAGTCGCCTTTTTACACATCCAGCAGACAAAGCACCAGTATCATCTACTTGGAGTCGTGTTTGTGTGCACCTGATGAATGTCAGTCCAATATTCACTCATTTAGCTCTGTTTTGGTCACCAACTCCTGAGAAAAAATATCTTGCTCAGTAGCTGCTGAATGCTCCACTGTGTTCACCAGCTAGTCGCTAATAGTGTCTCTCTGCTGTTTGGTGCTGAGCAGGTAGTGTGCAGCGGGTTTGACACCGAAAACAGCCGCATGTTGCTGGAAACACCATGACACCAAAACATCGAGCTGAAAGAGGACAAAAAGGTCTGTAGAGCTGAGGGGAGCGGCAAAGTAGGCTGGTAATTCTCTGTGGGTTTGTTACTACGAATGACCCATTTCACATTACACATAGTCATTTGATCCATTGTTAACATGAAAATATTGATCGGTGCAGCTATAATATTAATTTTTTTATTTCTTATTTGATTTAATTGTCTTCGGGCTTTGTTCAAGTGTGTTTCAGTGGCATACGTTTGATGTTAAGTTAATATATTGTTTGAGTTGTATTCTGCACATTTAAGCAGTTTTTGTTTGTTTGTCCGGACTCAGTTCTCTCCATTTCCACTTAAAGGCATGATTTGGGACTCGACCTCTCATGGCCAGAGATCGGACATGGACCTAACTTAGCTGAGATATATGTCTTAAGAGGAGCAGACTTGCTCACGGGTCTGTAAAGATAGAAGCACCTTCATCATGAGAGCGGGGCCCCAGAGCAGCCTCTGTTGCAGTCTCATTAGCTGTGATATGAGAAATACAAGAGTCAGGCCTGCTTTACCGCCCAGGGTCACTCAACTGTAGAAACAGCCACACCTTACATACTATACAACCAAGGCTTTCTACACATTAAAATGAACAACATGTCACATAGGTGATTATGGGGCCACAGGCCACTGAATAAATAGTACAACAATAATGGACTTAAACTAAAATAATTATCTTTGTACTTTAATAAAGGTTATTGTTCAGATTTAGTTACTTAAAGGCTAACACTGATATTTTTCTGCCTGGACCCTAATTTCCCACATTGTTGTGTCTAAGTCACTAAAGGGGACAAACACTTTTGTCCAGTATTGAGGGAGAACGCTGCAGACGGCTGATGCTAAAAGTCTCTGGGGGCAACTCCTCACCGTCAGTATACGTTTTACATTGTCGCGTTATAGCCTAACGTTAGCCTTTTACCTTTATTGCGTTCATGCTACAAAAACCTTAAAAGTGGGTTCGTTGTGAAGATTATCTTGCTGAACAAAACATGTATCATAAACATTTGTTTGCCACTGAGCCTACTTTCTGCAATAATCCAAAATCCAATGGAAAAATCCCATTGGCTTTTTGTGGAGGGAACCAGGCGATGCCAACTTCCTGGTTGGCACAAAAACATACGTCACCCCTTCATCACTCTATAGCAAGTATAATGTTTGATATGTTCACTATCTTAGTTTAGCATGCTGACATTTGCTGATCATAAACGCAAAGTACAGCTAAGGCTGATGGGAATATCAGTAGTTTTGCATATATTTTGTCATAAAAATGTACTGGACACATTGAAATTTTCACCTGATAGAACCTGGTAATAAGTGCTAGAAGTGATGGAAGGCAATGGTGAATAGAAGCAAAACAAAAATCAATAAGCCATGATTCGTCAACTTTGTACATTACAAAGGTTGGAGGGAGGTGCTGTCTCACCATGTTCGGCTGGCAAATTTCCCCTCGGTAGCTACGCACATCCTCAAGGTCAAGAGTGGCTGTAATCACCTCCTACAACACACACACACACACACACACACACACACACACACACACACACACACACACACGATTACCTAGGACAGTTTTGAGAACATTACATTGACTTACATTCATTTTCTGGAGACTAACCATAACTGCTACGAGCCTAATCCTAACCCTAACCTGAATTTAACCATAACCTAAAACTAACCTTACACCAACATTACATCAAGTCTTCACACTAAAATTGAATGATTTACGTTATTGTTTATTGTTATGCACCAATCACAAAACCAAATTCCTTGTATGTGTTTGTACGTACTTGGCAATAAACCGTTTCTGATTCTGATTCTGAGAACATGCATTTTGTCCCAATAAGTCAGGCCAGTCCCCACAATTTGACTGTGTAAACAGATTTACGTCCCCAAAATACAGGTAAAACACACTGGCACACAAAGATCATTCTGCGACAAAGGAATGCTGTCTGCCTGCTATCTAACTGTGTGACCTGTTCTGCAACACTTACCCAACAGACCTGTACACACGGGAAACACCAAACCCATTCTTTTGCCCACACCTACAATAATGTCACTTCACACCGGTCGTTTTATGATTTCCGACTACATGAAGACTTATTTGCAGGTATGTATTGAGCCTGGTCTGGTTCTTTTCATGTCCATACCACATCATTAAGCGAGAATTCCGCTCCCAGTGACACGATGTCTCCGTTGATGGCCACCATGGCACAACCGTCATAGTAGACACGGTCTCCATCACAGCCCCTCTGGTTGGCGTAAAGGTAGATTCCGCCACTCTGGAACAACACCAACGATACACTGAATGCAGTACTGATTTTAGTCAAACCATTGCATTGTGCTAAGAACACGGGATGTTAAGGATGCACTATGTCCTGTATTAGTAGTGCAGCACTGCCCTCTGGTGATCTCTGTTTTGCATTGTCTGTGTAAGTACAACAATCATCAAGTCTATGGTAAGTTGCTGGTCGAGCTACATGATTGCAGGAATGTGTCTAATTTTTTTTCTGACCAATATTGCAATTGGGATATTTTTTCAATATCTGTGACATCTCAAGATGCCTCAGTGTGTTGGTGCGCATTTTGTTTGTGTTGTTGCGCATACTCTTGCGTAACTACATACTACATATGTTTCTACCAAGCATAGTCACAAAGTTTCCCTGTTTTTACATGCATAAACAAGCAAATGTTTGTGGATGCTACGGATGCAATGATACAGACATCGGGCCGATACTGACTTAAATATCTTGATCAGGTATCGGGGACAATGGGGCCGATCTATTAAATTAAAATGTATATACCATATAAATGACTCGGCTGTTTACACAGAGCAGAGAGGAAAGAACAAGAGAGGTTGTAAAAATGTTAGTAGGTCAATATGTGTAGCACGAGGAGACCCCCTTTTTTTTCCAATATTGGTAACACATGTGGGAAATGTTATATAGATTCAATTTTTGTTCCAACTTTTGAAAAATAAAAGTTTTTTCCAACACTTTTTCTAACTTTACAAATTATAACGATGACATACTGCGCAAAAAACATTTTTGAGTTCCACTTACTGGTGATTTTGCCGTTTCAATAGAGGTGCATGAGTGGAAAAAAAACGAGGCCTCAGTGAGTAAAATGTGGCAGAAGTATAAAATGCCTTGAAACTGCTTGGGGTTCAGAGGGTTAAAGTGTACCTTGGTGGTGGCTGACTTGATCAGGTTGACTCTTTGGTCAGCTTTGCGGAGCACGTGGTGGCTGGCAGACGCATTTGTAAAGATTTCAACCCCATCCAGACCCATCTGAATATGGGGGCTGACGAAAAGAGACAAAAAAAAAAAGGTTCTGTCATCGGGAGGTTTGGATTGTTTCAGTCAGAACACAGAAAACGACAACACCCCATGCAATGCACCTTTACACAATCCTCTGTTGCTGTGCTGTACCTTCTGGGGTGCCAGAGCTCTTGGCATAACTCAGTGCCAATGCAGGTGTCCTTCGTGGACAGCACACAGTCACCGAATGGGACTGTATCCTGACGGTCACAAAGAAACATGGGAATAAAAACACTGACCATCTCTTTGCTAATGTTTCCGGTGGCGAAAAAAAGGCTAGTCTTAGTCTCAAAATACAGATAATAATAGTTTGTTTTTTTACCTGCCCCGTTACCTCCTGGATCATTCGGGGTAGAAAATACTCCTCCACCTGCCTTAATGAAACACGCAAAAAGAGAAGTACTTTCAATACCACCCCAGTTGTTTTCAAAAGGTGAAGCAAAATTCCATCATTGTTTTAGGCCTTAGTTCAAAGACCACACTCATGGGGGAACTGTTAGCCTGGCTTCTACAAAAGTGAAAATATCTATATCTAAATGCATCTTATTTATTCAACTGCCAATATAGAAAATGAGGCATTGTGGTTTCAGTGCCAGTTAGCACTAGACTAACCTGTCCTAACGGGGGTTTGAACAGGTTTGGTTACTGTTCCAGCTCTGGTCGGTCTGGTGACTAGCTAACAAGCTCCATCACAAGACAGCTTTGGAGTTGTATGAAAACGTTCGGGTTAGCTTCCGGTCTTCGTGCTAAGCTCACCTTAAAGCTATTGTGTCTCTGTACTGGACAACATTATAAGTAAGCATATTTTTTAAAAGGCCACTTCCATATGTTTTACACATCACAAACTGCTTACTCATCATGTGGAGCACGGCTCAAGTTTAACCAGATTGTGCTACTAAGGAGGGATTTTTGCTGGAATTAGCATTCTGTGAATATATACTTCAAAGTCCCTGCAAAGCAGGGTATCCGGAGGTCACCAAGGGCTGCAGAGAAGCAGACTCTTACACTTCCCACAGGTCCACAACGTGTCGCGTGTCAATGAGTGATGACTGACCTTAACTGCTTCCAAGGTGAGAACCAGCGCAATTCTCTGTAGACCCCGTAATTGGCCATCAGCATTTTAGGTCTGATCAGCAGTATTTTTCTACAGGATGAAGGACAAATGCTTAGTGATAAAACATATGTGTCCAGTCAAGTTATATAAATGCATAAAATGTAGGGAAAAAAACACAAGTCATTTATGAGAGTGGACTGGTGCGCTGACGTACCTGTTGAGGAAAAGGACCCGACAGTTGTAGAGCACATTATGATGCATGATGGGCCTGAGGGGAACAGGATGTTCCAAGGTTACATTTTTCTTAAGTAAATATAAACTCTCACGACAAACTGTCAGTTTAAATTCTAATGTGTGGACTGCAAATGAGAAGCGTGTCCAATGTTCTGAGCAATCCTTGACTTTTTTGTAATTTAAAGTGATTAAAAACTTGAAACATTTAGTTTAGAGTCTGCCGGTTTGATGGTGATACCCACATCCCCACATCACAGATGATGTCCTGGGTGACAGGAGACTCTAGAAGCTTCCTCAGGACCTGAAAGCTGTGGAGCAACGTGTCTGACTCATAGAAGTGGTCAGCGCAGCCATAGCCGCTGTAAAGTGAACAAGAAAAGTCAAAGTCAAACTCTGGCAGCATTAGTATCTAATAAAAGTTCTGCGCTACAAGGAGCTAGTCCACTTAGATCATACTATGACATTTCAATGTGTGAATACACTCATGTCAGTGTGAAACGTAATGAAGCTTTTGCCCATCATACCATATCTCCAGCTCTGGGCCCAGTCTGTATTTGGCTCCGTGAGCTTTAGCAATCTCAATACCTGCAGAGAAACACACAGACAGGCAACAGGCAGGATTATTGGTATTTTGGCAAACAAATACTGTTGGTTTTGTGTGCATTGACCCCCGTGGCAGAAGAAGATTGCTACAGGGTTCCATTTGGGCCAAAACTATGACATGCTCACCGTCCATATTGACTGAACATGTGACAAAAATGTGTCTCTCTCTCTACAAAACTTTGAACTGTACTTCAGCTGTGAGAAAACTATTTAAGTCAATCTGATTGTCTAAGTCGATTGCTCAACTAACAAAACATGTGTCTGTGTCTATTCAACTTTAAACAGTACTTCTAACAGTTAGTGGCACTCCCTGTCATCATGATGGGTCGTCCTCCCTGTTGTTTTTAATGTTGTTATGACGTGTCGTCTGACTGTTGTTTTAATGTCGTTATGTGTCGTCTGACTGTTGTTTTAATGTCGTTATGATGTGTCGTCTGACTGACGTTTTAATGTCGTTATGACGTGTCGTCTGACTGTTGTTTTAATGTCGTTATGATGTGTCATCTGACTGTCGTTTTAATGTCGTTATGATGCGTCATCTGACTGTCGTTTTAATGTCGTTATGATGTGTCGTCTGACTGTCGTTTTAATGTCGTTATGATGTGTCGTCTGACTGTCATTTTAAGGTCGGTATGTGTCGTCTGACTGACGTTTTAATGTCGTTATGTGTCGTCTGACTGTTGTTTTAATGTCGTTATGATGTGTCATCTGACTGTTGTTTTAATGTCGTTATGATGTGTCATCTGACTGTCGTTTTAATGTCGTTATGATGTGTCGTCTGACTGTTGTTTTAATGTGTCGTCTGACTGTCATTTTAATGTCGTTATGTGTCGTCTGACTGTTGTTTTAATGTGTCGTCTGACTGTCATTTTAATGTCGTTATGATGTGTCGTCTGACTGTCGTTTTAATGTCGTTATGATGTGTCGTCTGACTGTCGTTTTAATGTCGTTATGATGTGTCGTCTGACTGTTGTTATGTTTTGTCAGGTGAGCGATCAACACAGGCATTTGACATAATTTTGGCACAAATGGAACCCCATATATTTCAGAGGTTTTCAGTGATTTAATATTGCACTTCCACAAAGTTAGGAGACCTGCAAGAGGCCAATTAAAAAAAGGTAACAAATGTGGCAGCAAAGACAGAGATATCTTGACGTTTAATCCCTAGTATGGATGGGTTGAGTTTATGGGTAGATCAAGATGAAAAGTTGGTTTTGTGGTTAAAACTGCACAACTCACAAAAGTAACTGGTGGTAATGTTCATTATCTTAAGAGGGAACACTTCTGGTTAGCTCAGAGTGCAGAATTAGCTATTAGCTCTGGTGACAGACCCATGGATTGTATAAAGTGCAAAGTACTGGACCCAGAACCCTGTGAGGAGGGAATGCTTGTTTTAAGGAAAGACGGTTCACACCGTCACTGCATGTTTATGGCTGTTACATGAAATGTGTGAACGGCTTTCAGGCTTTATGATCAATACTTTGAGGATCAGGTTGAGTTTCACTGTGGGACTTGGAGACAGCTGTGTGTATGTATGTCTTTGAATAGAAAACGCATCATTTTGAGAGGAAAGGGTCTATTTACATGGTCCTGAGTGGCTGACCAATCATACTTGATAAGCAATCTCGACACAGTTGGTCAGGAGCGAAGCTACACCCGTTTATACTCCACATATCTAATATGAGGATTTGCATAACGTCATATGGAGTGTCTGGTGTGTTTTTTGGGAAACCGGTTTTTGCATACATGTTTACATTATTAATACAAACCAGAAAGCTACAGTTGGCAGAAGGTACACTCTATGACAGCACTGCCCTGCAGTAATAGTCCGACTTACTCTTCAGTATTCTCTCTAGGTTGCCGTCGAAGTCCAAAGCCCACTGATTCAATGAGCAAGTAGCGAGGGTCACTTTCCGTCCCATGTTCTTGGTCGTTAGTTTGCTGCGACAACAGCTGGTGCGTCGCGTGACCAAACCAGGCGGACCACAATGCTAATGATATCGTATATAAAGTTAAGCTTGCACGTTAAGGTATAGGTAAATACTGTAGCTATATCTAGCCCGGCTATCATTAAGAGTATGTGGAGAGGAGTCGACTTGGTTTGGAGAAATGTACAGTACTACGCGTTTTCTTCTTCTTCTGTTATTTTGGGATTTAACTCGCTTCTGAGTACATTACTGCGCCCCACAGGACAAAGGAGGCATTACTTCAGTCACCGTGAAAACGAGTATGTTCCTGGCCTGTCTTTCAAATGTTGAATCTGTTGAATGTATTGTTGCCTGTCATTGTGTTTTATTTGACTATTCTTTTAGAATAAAACATTGCGAATGTCTGATATTTCAAATACCAAATGCTAAAATATATTGTATATTGTATTTATTTGCAGAGCTGTTGTTACAAAAAAATCATGGAAATGATGGAAGAAGCATGCACTTGACTAGGTTTAAAAAAAAGTTAAAATAATTAGATAAATGAGTGAGTGAATAGTGAATCTCTGGGAGGAGACATATATAAATGTGTGTATATATATATATATATATATATATATATATATATATATTTATATTGTCTTGTATTGAAGATCAAATCACACATCCACGTTCTCGTCCAGTTAATTCAAAGGCCAAGTTGCTGTATATAAAGCAACTATGCCTCTGCCATTCCCAATGCTCACACTCAGCCGCACCCTCTCTTTACTTTCAACCTCTATGTGGAGACCTTCTGACTATTCCTCACAATTTATTTTGTTTTGAAATGTACGGCCTTTAAGTAAGTGTTTGGCTATTTTTTTAGTTTTCTTATACTATACTTTAAAAAAACAAGAACAACAACAACACTTTCTTAGGCAGCAAAACTATTTAGTTAGGTTTCGGGACGAACAGCATTGTTGGGATTAAAACTACAAAAACTTAGTGAAATGTAAACGAGGTAACATTAGAAAAGTACAGACGCTGTCAAATTTTCTCCTTTTTTGATATCGGCATTTTCCACCAGCGGTGTTGACAGCGTTGTGTTAGGTAGCCTGTTCTGCTCCTGTTATTAGGACAACAAGACCTCAAACAATTTAGAGTTACCGACTAACCTCTTTGGAATCGAACCCTCTTAATGTGAGGCAACAGCACTAACCACAGCAACACTGTTCCACCCAAAGGTGGAAACTATTTTTTTTTACAGCAATAAATAATTCCATTCTCTACTTTATGTTGTTCAATACAACTTTATTCAATTTCAACCATATCAAAAGATGGGAAAAGAAAGGCAAATAACTAAAAAAATGCATGAATACAAACTTTTAACTATGGCCGACATTGTACACCTGTGGCAGGCGACACATGTGGCACATGGGCACAGTCACTGCAGTCTGCGTATGGGGGGTGTGAGGGTCCCCAACATCAGGCCTGACGGCATTTTCTGCTCGTGAAGAGGAGTGGGCTCCATCATTCCCTCTTGTGAGTAGGAGGGGTCCATCACAGATGTGTGTGAGGAGGAGGGCTCCATCACAGATGTGTGTGAGGAGGAGGGCTCCATCACAGATGTTTGTGAGGAGGAGGGCTCCATCACAGATGTGTGTGAGGAGGAGGGCTCCATCACAGATGTGTGTGAGGAGGGGTCCATCACAGATGTTTGTGAGGAGGGGTCCATCACAGATGTTTGTGAGGAGGAGGGCTCCATCACAGATGTTTGTGAGGAGGAGGGGTCCATCACAGATGTTTGTGAGGAGGAGGGGTCCATCACAGATGTTTGTGAGGAGGAGGAGTCCATCACAGATGTTTGTGAGGAGGAGGAGTCCATCACAGATGTTTGTGAGGAGGGGTCCATCACAGATGTTTGTGAGGAGGACGAGTCCATCACAGATGTTTGTGAGGAGGAGGGGTCCATCACAGATGTTTGTGAGGAGGGGTCCATCACAGATGTTTGTGAGGAGGGGTCCATCACAGATGTTTGTGAGGAGGGGTCCATCACAGATGTTTGTGAGGAGTCCATCACAGATGTTTGTGAGTAACAACGATTTTTTTGTCGTTGTTATAGTAACGTGATATGTTGGAGCAAAGTGCTGTCCCATTCATATTTACACCATTTCAAGCCCTCACAGTCTCTCACACTCAACCACTTACCAGGTGACGTCAGTAAGTCCTTGAGGGTTCAGGGTTTGAGGCCTTATGGGGGACACTGGGATTGGGCCGATGTGTGCTTCAATTATATTTGGAGGTAAAATGTATGACGGACATCCAAGGGTCGCCTCCTCTGTCTCCGAGAGGATGTAAAGTTGGCGGGCAGCTTCTTGAACACCGTTTGGTCAACTTCCACATCCATATTGGCATTGAGCTGAGTCAAGTCATCTATCAATCTATCCAGCCGAAACTGAAGATAGTCGTTGAGTACATGGTTCTCTAAATCGTTCGCTAATGATCGTATTTTATTTGAAATGGCTTGTAAAAACAATGCCATGAATAAACCAGCGTTAAAACAAATGCCAACGACTTCGGCTTGTGCTAACAGTTAGCTGAGTGGGCTAGTCAACTTCAACGTTACTGTGCAAGGCAGAAGGAGTAGACCAGAAGCGATCACACTCCTGTGACCAATCCTGCTTTCGACAGAGGTTAGGACCTCCCACCTCATTAGCATACAGACACATAAATAAATAAATGTAGGTGAACAAAAATGTAGAAATTAAATATATGATATGCATTTCTTTATGTCCTGTTTGATTATCAACTTTTATTTATTTATCTATACATTCATTTATTTATTTAAATATTTATACTTTTATTTATTTATTTCAGTATTTATTTCAGCATTTAATTATTCTTTTATTTATTTGTTTATGTATTCAAACATTTATTTAAGCATTTATTTATTTATTCCTGTATTTATCCAAACAATTATTTATGCATTTATTTATTTATATTTCAGTAATCTTTTGTCCTCCATATCCATCACCAATGCTGGTGACACATCCACTTCTTGGCCGGTTCAGCATCAGATTTAAATGCAGGCGCTTCAACACAAACAAAAAAACAAGCAGCTGCTTCTTAAATGTGCGTTCAACAACACTGAATCAAATGGCATTACATTTTCTACTAGAATCCTGACAAGGGTTTAAAAGTAACCCATGTTTCTTGTTTGTGAAATCAATGTAATTTAACGATCTGCAATTCAAACTCATCAAATAGGATCCAAAGTGTTTTCATCACGTTTTCACATCAAAAACATACCTTCAACTCTGACGGAAGCCTTCCCCCTCTCCCTCTTCCTCTTCCTCCTTTTGCCCTGCACACATCGTGCTTTCCATCAAATACCAGCTGATAGAATAAAAAAAGTTTCATGATGCTAAACATGCGTGCGAGGGGTGTGCTTACATAGTTGTCTGCGATGCACCAGTCGGGGTGTCGCTGGGCGTGCAGCTCTTTTTCGTTTTGGGCCATGTCGTAGTATTTGGCCTTATCCTCGCTTGTCAGCAACGACCACTGTGGACAGACGACGGCACGCTGTTAGCACACGCACGCACACAGCTACAGTGTGCACGTACACAAAAGGCCAGCATTAAGACATATTAACAGATACAAGTGGCTGGGTTCTGGTCATGAGGCAATAAATGAACAGCACAAATCACTGCAAAGGTGTGAAGATTTAAAGGGGCTTTTTTTTTTTACAGTCGTGGCTGTAGAAAATTTGATGGAGGGTGCAACACTGAGTATCTCAAGCATCCAGAGCAGACACACTTACCCTCTGGCCCAGGATTGTATTCACGGCCGCACTCCCTCTGCTCTGGTTGCATACCGGGACCTTGACATCTGCCCTCTGCTCCTTGATGAAGAGCATGAAGGCGTTCAGGGGCTTCTTTACGTACAGCCGGTTGTCCTCCTGCTTGTCAAACTTCCCCTTTCTACGGGGAAAAAAACGAAGTAAGAGCTCCTGTTAGCGCTGTGCAAAACTGTGAGGATAGACGTACGTGTTGTTAAATCAAAAACCCATTTAAAGAGACTTGATCATAGTAATATACATGAAGGCATTTTGGTAGACAAATAACACCGGAAATTGCGGCCTTACATGAAATATAAGATGATATTCGATAAAGAATCTGGCTTATTTATGGCCAGAGATCATGTGACAGAATCAGCTTTATTGACAGTAAAACAAAACAGTAAAGTGACAGTAAAACAAAACAAAAAATGAAATGTACATTTTGACCCAAAACTGTAAACTGTAAAAAGAACGTACATTGAAGTGGAGGCATTCGGTGGAGGAGCGGCCCAGACAGGTGGCGCGAAATGGTCTTCTTCGACCTTGTACAACATCTGTCCATTCCTACACAGGTAAAGAGAGTCAGGTAGGAAAATAGAAAGAGTGTGTGTGGGCACTCATGTGCATGTTTTGAGCGTGTTACTTACAGCATTCCAATAAAACGCAGCTTCTGGCCTTCGCGGAGCCTCACCACCGGCAAATCGTTATTCTGGAGAGACAAACACACACACACACACACACACACACACACACACACACACA